AAACAAAAGAATAAGTTAATGATGGCTAATTAATGAAGCAAACAAAATAACTGAACAGAGGTAAAGTACAACGAATAAACTGTTTTCCCAATTCTTGAAGAAAAAGAAAAAGGCAGCTGCGATGTATTTTGATCCTTTATTTTTGCTTTGAAACCCTACTGTCAGGGTGGAAGATCCATACAACATTGGCAAAAGCGAATATTACGTACAAAGGTGCTTTATTCCATTAGCGAAGACTGTCTTAAATCAAATCTTTTAGCTGGAATATGTTTTGTAGGTATGTGTGCGCATTTACAGTCACCGGCCACTTTATTAGGTACACCTGTCCAACAACCTAAGCTTGTTAATGCAAATTTCTAATCAGCCAATCAAATGGCATGCCTTTAGACATGTAGACATGTTGCCTGGTCTGATGAGTCTCGACTTCTGCTGCAAAATTCAGATGGTAGGGTCAGAATTTGGCATCAACAACAAGAAAACATGGATCTAGCCTGCTTTGTAACAATGGTTCAGTCTGGTGGTGTAATGGTGTGGGGGATGTTTTCTTGGCACACTTTGGGCCCATTAATACCAATTGAGCATTGTGTTAACACCACAGCCTACCTGAGTATTGCTGAACATGTCCATCCCTTTATAACCACAGTGTACTCATCTTCTGATGGCTACTTCCAGCAGGATAATGCGTCATATCATAAAGTGTGAATCATCTCAGGCTGCTTTCTTGAACATGACAATGAGTTCACTGTACTCAAATGGCCTCCACAGTCAGCAGATCTCAATCCAATAGAGCACCTTTTGGGTGGGGTGGAATGAGAGATTCGCATCATGGATGTGCAGCCGACAAATCTGCAGCAACTGCGTAATGCTATCATGTCAATATGGAGCAAAATCTCTGAGGAATATTTCCAGCACCTTGTTGAATCTATGCCACACAGGATTAATGCAGTTCAGAAGGCAAAAGGGGTCCAAACCAGTACTAGTAAGGTGTACCTAATAAAGTGGCCGGTGAGCGTATGAGTTAATACATTGTGTTTTAAAGATTGTAGTAGTATGCCAGAGCCAGATATGAATTTCTGTCCAGAACCTCTGTGCAGACAACAAAGTAAAGTGTAAATAAAGTGAAGTAATGAGAGCCGGTATCTTACAGGCCAGGATTTTAGCCTCTGCACTTTTTAATAAGGACATGGATGTGGGTCTCCACGAGGGCCACCAGGACCAGTTTCCAGAAGTGGACCTAAACAGACAGAGAAATATAGAGTCACTGAATGGAGAGAGTATTAGGAAGCTCTATAAGACTCATCGGTCTGTGTACAGTACATACTGCGTTACGTCATCTGCCTTTATACACAGAACAAGCCTGTCACCTGCCGGTAATAAACCCAGGGTTAATAATAATGCCTTGTGGGCAGAGTTCACTCCCAAGCACACAACAGAATATTAAATACAGGTATACGTCATGATAGGAGCATCACATCCTTTTAAAGGAAAAGTACTGTACTGTAGATGAATGCAAGGTTATATTAGCATTTCAATATTATTGTGTCAGGTATTATTTTAATAACGAAAAATAACAAATATGCTTATACCTTTAATACATATTAAATCTAAATTATTATTATTTTTATATTTGGTATTATTTCAATAAAGGTTACAAAAAAATTACAAATATTTACTACATAATAAAGTTATTATATATTTTTAAGGTTTGGTATTATTTCAATAAAGGTCACACAAATTAATAAACAAATTAACTTTTAATACATTATACAATTTTTTTATTACTTTAATAATTGTTACAAAAAAATTACAAACATTTTAGACTTTAATATATAATGCACCACAAATATTATTAATAATAAAACTGATTAATGCATATTTTATTGTAATCATAGGTTTATTTTATGTTTGTTCTTAGTGGTACAAGTATACTTATCTAGCAGTCTAATGAAAAAAAATATATTATTGTATACAGTAAAATAAGCATATATTAGTCCCTCCAGAATTTTGCAGTGACATATTTTAAAATATCTGATATATTTGATATTTGTATTGATTATAAATGACTTGTGAATTATTTTCTTAAAAGGTATGGCATTATTTTGCCTAGATCTTTGTGTTCTGCTGTAAAGATTTACAAAATCTTGTCAAATTTTTTTTTTTTTTTTTTTAAATACATAATAAATTTTAATTATTATTTTTTAATGTTAGGTATTATTTCAATAAAGATTACACAAATTGATAAACATTTTAGCCTTTAATGCATAATACTTGAATATATAAATATAAAACACTTTAATATACAATACATCAAAATATTATTAATAATAAGACAGATTAATGCTTATTTTATTGTAAGTGTAGCTTTATTTGTTTATGTGTGGTCTGTGTTGTACAAATTATGAATTGAAGCTGCTATTAGCACTTCCTAATCCTAAATTTTAGTCGTATTTTTTTGTTTACACTGCTATAAGCAATAAAAAGCTAAAAATGTGTACATTATAATAGAATAATCAAAATTATAAAATATATTTTCACGTATGCTCTATTCTGTAGACCAAATGAATGGAAATTACTTTGCATCTGACAAGAAATCTATTTAGGCTGTTTACATTTATTTTTTAAATGTGTAAATTGTTATTAATACAGTTGAAGTCAGAATTATTAGCCACCCTGTTTATTTTTGTTACCCAATTTCTGTTTAACGGAGAGCAGATTTTGTTTTCAACATTTCTAAACATAATAGTTTTATTAACTCATTTCTAATAACTAATAATTTTGACCTTAAAATTGTTCTTAAAAAATTACAAAACTGCTTTTATTCTAGCCGAAATAAAACAAATAAGACTTTTTCTAGAAGAAAAAATATTATCAGACATACTGTGAAAATTTCCTTGCTCTGTTAAACATCATTTGGGAAACATTTAAAAAATAAATAAAAAAAATCAAAGGGGGGCTAATAATTCTGACTTTAACTGTATACGCTAAAATAAGACATACATCTTCATTATATTATAAAATTACATTATATTTGTATATCATATAAATTTAGGTTTCTGTTAATATTTAAATTGAATTGTTATATTCACAAGAGGAAAAAATAAAACAAAACTGCATTTAAATAGATATTTTTAATAAAAATTTTAATAAATTATAAAATGTTTCTTATGTTGGTGGTCTGTACACTTGATTTCACACTTGACTTAGATTTCATGTCAGCAGCAAAATAATTTCCATTAAATTGGTCCACAGAATAGAGCTTACGTGAATATATATTTAATCATTTGGATGATTCTAATGTATACATTATTAGCTTGCAAATATAAGGTGACATTAACATCAAATATATATAAAAATATACAAATATAAGGTCATAATACCATCAAAATGTCTTCATATGACAGTTTTAAGAGTCCAAAAAGCAACACTAATAATTAAGTCTGAAAAGTAATGCTAAAAACCGAGTCACAACCATATGATGTAATGTAACACCTCAGCGTGACTTTGCATAACGTTATGAAATCATCCAACAGGTCACATAATGACCGAAGATGTCTGAATTATTCTCTTGCTTTATTCAAAACATTCATGACATACTGAAACATTCATAATATGTTAAACATACAGTGTATCCGATATTACAAGGAAACTGCATGTTACAGTAGCGACCCGGACATCAAGTGTTTATAATTATATGTGTATGAATATTTATCAGTACTCACTCGGCGTCGGTCTCGTCATGCATCGTGGCGTTTGCAGGAGACATTATGAAACATAACACGATCAAAATCCTCGACGACAGACTGGCATACTTCAGATACGTGCGGCTTTTACCGGATCTGTCAAACATACAGTCTCTTTAAAGGCCCGTGTTTATGTTTGCGTTTTGTAACTTTGACGTCAGAGCATTTAAAGGAGCCGCAGCATAAAACCAAATTTAGGTTTTTTTCTTTTTTAACGGGTGATATATCGCAGTTTAATGAAAGGTTAATAATAAATAATTCTAATATTAAATAATAAATAATACTGGCTATGTTAAAAAATAATGATATTGTATATTGGCAGTTTTTTTTATATTTATTTGCAGCCGGTGGCGCAGTGGGTAGTGCTGTCTCACAGCAAGAAGGTCGCTGGTTCGAGCCTCGGCTGGGTCAGTTGGCGTTTCTGTGTGGAGTTTGCATGTTCTCCCTGCATTCGCATGGGTTTCCTCCGGGTGCTCCGGTTTCCCCCACAGTCCAAAGACAAAGTACAGGTGCATTGGTCCGTAATGGATGATTGTGTATGGGTGTTTCCCAGTGATGGGTTGCAGCTGGAAGGGCATCCGCTGCATAAAACTAAAGCTGGATAAGTTGGTGGTTCATTCCGCTGTGGCGACCGCAGATTAATAAAGGGACTAAGCCAAAAAGAAAAAGAATGAATGAATATTTGCAGCCTAAATTGATGATTTGTGATGAATTTTCTTAAAACTTATGGCATTTTTGCTTCGATATTTGTGTTTTTTTTTTTTTGCCCCAAGAACCATTATACTCGAAAAAAACACGGAGAGACTGAAAATATATATTATTTTAACATTTTAAATTAATAAAAAATTTCCAAGTTGAACCATGTAAATGTCTTAAAAATGTACAGTTTATAAAAGAATGACATAGTTAATATATAAAAAAATATTTTTAAAATAATTCTCATAAAATAAAAATGTACTACGAGAAACAAATGTAAAATAGTATTTAAAAAGTTACAGTATTTAAAAATGTGAAAGTAAAGTTCACATTTAGTCTAATGTAAAATATGTGTTAACGTAATTATTTTCTTTAATAAAGAGTACAAAATTAACAAAGTCAATAAAGTATTGTTTTTAGTAAATATATACTCGCATCTGCCTTCTATGTTTCATTTGATGACATCAAACACAAACGCTTCACGAGCACCGGAACTAAAATTCAGCTGCGGTTCCAGTGGGGAATATTTAGAGGACGCACCTCTGCCTCTCTCTGATACACGTCATTCATTTCCTTGCTGCTTGGATTTTCAGGTGTCTGTGCGCATTTCCAGCAGACATCATGTCTAATTCGGTGTTTTCCGTCATATCGCGTTTTGTAGAGGAATACAGAAGCAGCACGCTGACTAAGCTGAAGGTCATCGACGCGTATCTGCTGTATATTTTGCTGACCGGAGTCTTCCAGTTCTTGTACTGTCTGCTGGTGGGAACCTTCCCCTTCAACAGCTTCTTATCTGGCTTCATTTCATGTGTGGGGTCCTTCATACTGGCTGGTATGTACTTTTTTAATTTTTATCACATATACCATATGTATGTAGTTTTCAGTGTGTAGAACTGTTGATTTTTGTTCAGTTTGCATTAATGCTAATCATGCTAATCAAGAATCATTGGAATCGCAAAATACTGGAGGGACTGAAAATGTATTTAATGTGGGAAAATGAATCTTTATATATATATATATATATATATATATATATATATATATATATATATATATATATATATATATATTTATGTATATATATATATATATTTATTATTATTATTATTTTTTAATGTGTTGGGTGCTCCATGTAAATGTAATTGAGGTAAACTTGGTTCTATATTGGCACATTCATTTTTGAACGATGACAACTTGTGACAGGCTCCCTATACTGTTTACCGTGGTATTTAGATAATTCGGTCTGGAATCACATCTATTACTTGAAAACAACATTAGCACTATTCAATTGACTGTGGACAGTGTTGTACTTTAATAATCATTGGCTGCTAATAACCTCTTAAGGCCTAAAGTGTTTTTTTTACATGGTTTTTTTTATTTCTCTTTGCGATTTGGGCTTATTGGAACATAATTAGAATACAAATCCAAGTATCATCTTTTAATATGTTTTTTTATTGAAAAATATTGTCCATATATGTGAACTCGTGGTCCGAATTTGCATAAAACACCTGTTCCTGAATGTTTTTAATGCATATGTAACATATAGTTTTATTTTTGAACTTGCTTTCACTATCAGACAGAAACCTTTTTTTTTTTTTTTTTTCAATTTTGGAAAGTTAAAAATGTGTTTTGGACATTTCATATGCTGCAAAACAGTTGCAGGATGACACTGTATGTCTGTAACAAAATATAAAACATTTAAAGTATTTTAAAAAGCCACTTAAGAGCTAAAATGTGCTGTCCACGTATGTACTGTAGGAAGATATGATTTCACTATTTAGGATTTGCAAACATTACTTTACTGAATTACATTATCAAGGAGAAAGTGTGATTGCATGAATATAAATCCAACTTTGCCTCAATCTGAAAATGTATTTAATGTTGGAAAGTTTATGCTCAGATAATTACTTTTTATGACCAAATAATTATATACTTAAGTATATACCTGTCTTTTTACAGTCTGGTAGAAACAATCCCTCCAGAATTTTGCTGTGACTTTTTAATCATATATATATATATATATATATATATATATATATATATATATATATATATATATATATATATATATATATATATATTATTCACTGCTTAAAATAATGACTTCTAACTTATGGCATTATTTGCTTAGATTTGTGTTTTGCTTTTAAAACGCTCTTTTTCTTTGACCGCAAGAACCGTTTAACTATATAAAATAATGAAAGAACCAAAAATATACTTTATATAGCTAATAAAATCCTTATATTAATGGTTTTCACATTTGAACCCCTGCTTAGAGGGTCAATTTAAATGTTAAGAAAAAGTGCATAAAATTATTGTAAAAAATTATTATAGCTATTAATAATAAAAATGCACTATGAGAAATAAATGTAAAACAGTACGAAAGAACTAAATTGGTAAATAAAAATTGTTTAAAATAAAAAATCACATGTAGTCTGTAAAAAAATAGGTTAACATTTATTCAATATAAAGTAGCAAATTAGCAAAATTGTAAACCTTTCTAATTTGATTATCAATTTGATGATGATTTGATTATTTGTTATAGCTTTCTTTAACTCATTATTGCTTAGATTTTAGTGTTTTACTGTGAAAATGGACAAATATCTTGTAAAAAGTCTTTTTTTTTTTTTTTTTTTTTTTTTACATCAAATGCAAATAAGGGGACTTCCATGGAGGGACTGAAAATACATTTTATAAAGTAAATCTAGTCCTTATATAAAGGGATTTATTAACGCAGCATTTTTTTTTTTTGTATATAAAACAACTTACTTTTGAAAGTAAAAAAAATTACAAAAACGTTATTAGAACATAAATTGTTTGTGTACCACAGTAACTATTACTCTGGTGGAATTGGTATGTATTTATCTAGAATTTTTCCTTTAACTCTACAGGTTTGGGTTGTCTGAGCATGTCATGGTGCAGTTATAGGGTATAATTAAACATGTTGCTAATTAATGTCTTTTTTTTTTCTTCAGTGTGTCTTCGCATCCAGATCAACCCTCAGAATAAAGGAGATTTCCTCACGGTCTCTCCTGAAAGAGCGTTCGCTGATTTCCTTTTTGCTCACACTGTTCTCCATCTAGTGGTGGTCAATTTTGTGGGCTGAATGAGACTCTCTGCTCTGCGGTCCCTACAGCTGGTGCGTGTACAATTACATGAATTAATATGATGTTAATGTGATACAAAATTTTTCTCTGAAGCATAAATCTATGTAATTTACAGCTTGATTTTAAATAATTTGATAATGTTGTAAAATGTTATATAAAATATATTCATAAGTGCGTATGTTATATAAAATATATTTAAATGTGCGTGTGTATGAAGTATATTTATATGCATATTATTTAAATGAAACGTATGACATCATAAATATTGGTTTTGAAATAATTATGCATATTTGGTGACTATAAAATTTAATTGCAGAAGTATGTCTTTTACCATAGTTTTATCTAAAAATCATCCCTACATGTCAACTCTCTGTAGATTTCATATGTAACTCCAGATTAACTGCTCTGGAAGTTTGCAAACACCTTTAATCAATCATGTTTGTTTTTCCACAGAAATGAAGACCAAACGCTTCAGCTCAAGAACAGATCAACTACAAACACAACAGCCTGCGCTTCTCTCAATGTTAATGTATATGCTTTGACAGAATTGTCAGCTATGAGTTCCTGTCTTCATCCTTAATTTTTCTACTTTTGTAAAACTTACTGAGAGTTATGGAAACAAAATAAATGCCTTGAAAACACATTTTGGTGAATCGAATTGTGTTTTACTAAATTTTACCAGGGTGTCCTCGGAGTTTCAAAAAATATAAATTTTTAAATCAATTTAAAAAAATTAAGGCTCTCAAAAAGTATTATAAAAGTCTTAAATGCTATTTTGCAAGCTAATAAATTGTGTATCATTTTTGATAATGCAATGTATTCTAAAGTTTGGCTAAATTTAATCCGTGAAAATTGGGTGCTGTGTACTTTATGAAATCAATAACAATCCTGCTAGATTTTACATCACGCTGGTTTGTTTGCTGCAAAGGCGCCACCTGCTGGAAGAGAATTACCTTTTTTTAATATGTATATGAATAGTGTTTTAGTTTAGATGCAGGTATGTTTTATGTAGAATTAAGGCTCGACAATAAGGACTGCCTGATGGCCCAGGGCCAGTGTGCGAGGCGCTCGGGACAGTAGACAGGATAGTTACTGGCTCGATCGATTGTCAATTGTGTGCAAATACACTTAAGGTGCTTTGCACACCTAGACATTCATTTCGGAACTGGTCTCGTTTGCCCAGTTAGCGCAGCTTGTTTGGCCTTTGTGAAATGTAATTTATGTAATTAATGTAATGTAATTTGTTAGGCCTATTTTGTTCATTTCTGCACTGACACCTCAAAAGAAAGATCAACATTAATCTGCTTTATGATCTCATTGCAGTTTCGCTTCATCTGTTATTTCTCTCTATAATTTAAGCTATATTGCATAATTCTGGCCAATGTTTTTATTTTATTTTTTTTTCAAATAGGTTCTTTCAATAAATAGATTTTATTATTTTTTTTTTACAAAACTTGACAACTGAAACTACAACTGAGGCTATGAATGAGAAAAGGCTCGTTTGAGGTGCGCCTCGCCTTGACTGCATTGTTAACGAGAGCAGGCGTGTGCAGTATGAGGAGGGCTCAAATTACATTAGAAGTCGGACACTTGCTGAATCTCGCTGTTTAGCCACCTAGAAACGTCACCAGTGGCAGAGATCTCGTTCGGCTTTTTTATCGCAGACGAATGACCTCGTGAAAAAATACTATGGTGATTTATAGTAATTATTGCATTTTTGAACATGTTTTTTCAGTATTGGGTTATGTTTATAGTTGTTGTGATACCATAGCAACTATAAAATTTAAATTGGCAATTTTATAACATGGTTCAAAAACTCTACAGTATACATTAGTATTTTTAATGTGGGATTGGATGCAATAGAAATATCACTGTTTTTACAAAAAGATGGTCAGAATTACAGAAGATGAACAGCTCATTAACTAAAAGGGTGTACTTAATATATAATTCTGTATGTTCAACAAACTTTAAAAGAATAACAAAATAAACCGCTTATACAGCAAGAAAACTTTCAAGAAACCTAATTTGGCTACATTATAAATGAAGTAGCTATAGCAAGATGCTTTTGAGTGACAAGTCATGACAAATGTTTGTTTGACATGAAGAAATTCTTAGGGGGTTTATTATATTGACATGCTTATTAGGCTTATATAAGCTGCTTTTACTCCAGCCAGACTGAAATAAAATAGCCCAAGACTTTATCCAGAATAAAAACTATTAGACTGTAAATACTGTGAAAATGTTCTTGGTCTATTAAACATGACTTTTGACTTCACATACAGGTGTGTGTGTGTGTGTGTGTGTGTGTGTGTGTGTGTGTGTGTGTGTGTGTGTGTGTGTGTGTGTGTGTGTGTGTGTGTGTGTGTGTGTGTGTGTGTGTGTGTGTGTGTGTGTGTGTGTGTGTGTCTTGTTTACTACACCCCTTTCACTTCTCATATGAAACCACACAAAGATGAGGCATAATGACAAAACAGTCTGATTACCTTTGTATGTCTGAATATATGTATATGTTGGATTGACTTTCATGGAATAACGCTGCATAAAAATTACAATACAAAATTCACATAAACATACAAAAAGTGAAAATGACAACACCAAATAAATAAAAAACCATATGTAATGCTCTTAATGACTTTTTTAATTATCAACGAAAATACTAAAAAGGTATTCAACAAATCCAGGTATAAACCTTAGTTAAACAAGATAATAAAGTGTAATGTGTCAGTCTCATCCAATTAGCATTAAGCTGTGTCGTCAGCCAGTCGTTTCCCATCATGCTTTTGGTAACGCAGTCTTTTGAGATCAACTGCTGCCGACTGCTTAATCCGAGGTACCCGCTTCGCGAGAGTATTTTGACGCACGCTAGCGTGACATCAGAGCAAGGCGAAGGCAAGGCGGACGCATTTCTAACCGGCATGCATCCTGCGGTGATCACCGGTGATCGCAGATTTTGCCCATCTCAAACAAGCCTAAAGTCTGGCCTCTAATATATATATATATATATATATATATAGTGACTATGTCTGTGGGTGTCAAAATTAAAGTGTATATTTTCGCTTTTATTTATAAATTTGAAGTGTTTGGCTTTTTACACATTTAAAATATGTGGCTGTTATTAACTCTATTAACTTCTCTTTTTTTTTTTTTTGTGGGGCTAATGAAAATTTTGTCAGGGCAAGTAAAAATCTGAACTACTGGCTTGGAACTCCGCGTTGAACCCTGAGCATAATTTCACATAAACAGATCTTTTTTTTTATTATTGTTTTTTAAATCAAAAATGGAATTGTCCAATAAAAAAAAAAAAAAATAGCAGTTGGCTATGAAATATCAAGATCAGTGCAGTATTTTCTCATATTTGATTTGACCGTATCGAGCCAGCGAGTCCTTGGGTGTCCTTTCCATTCCCTGCATGACTGTCTTTTCGAGTTAATATCTACGCATGGCCAAAATAGGATCAGTCCTTTCGCTTGATGCACCCTAGGACGTCTTTGTTGATGATTCTAGCTGTCCATGTGATGCACAACAGTCTCCTCCAGCACCACAACTCGAAGGCGTCGATCTTTCTTCTTGATCATCCAGGTCTCGAAGCCATAGATTGCCATGGGGAAGACAGTTGCGTTGACTAGCCTAGCTTTAGTTGCAGTGCTGATAACCTTACTTTTAATTCATCTTTAATTATTTCTATAGGACATTTACAATGTAGATTGTGTCATAGCAGCTTAACATAGAAGTTCTAGTAAATTGAAACTGTTTCAGTCCAGTCCAGAGTTGAAGTTTAGTTTCGTTCAGTTCAGTGTGGTTTATTATTCACTGCTGAATGTCCAAACACTGAAGAGCAAATCCATCGGTGTGCAGCAACGAGAAACAAACTTGACAAAAGTAAAGGGAAAAAAAAAACTTGAAAGAAATCAGGCTCACTTGGGCACGGCCATTTCTCTTTTTGGCCAAACTTTTTGTGCTGAGCTGCAGTCTAGGTGCCGGAGGCTGGTGAACGCTGGGTGTCCATCTTGGTGAAGCTGCAAGTGTGAGTAGGTCACTGGCAGGTGTTCAGGCTGGCCCACGGTATCAGTGGTATCAGTGCTGGACTCGTCTGTCACTGGTCTCTTTTAGGAATCAGTCTCATCTGACGTCTTTTCCAGATAGCATTCATGCTCACCATTGCATTCCCTCCAAAGGTTAACTGTCTCTTGATTTCTGGTGTTGTGTCTTCATTTCAGTAACTAAGGTGTTGTGTCTCCATTTCAGTCACTCTTGGAACTAAGGAATATATAGTCCCGTACTGTCTCGATTTCATCATTGTGCATCTTTTGTTGCATCTTTCATGCTCAGGTCGTCATCATCTTCGTTTTCTTGTTCAGGTGCAACCCCACCTTCTCACTTTCTTCTTGCTCTTTCAGGATGAGTCGCTCCAGATCTTCTCTGCTTTTGGCCAGTAGGGTGGTGTCGTCAGCATATCTAAGGTTGTTTATGTTCCTGCTGCCAATTTTCACTCCCCTTTCGATGTCTTCTGGTACTGCTTTTCTTATGGCTGCTTCTGCATACAGGTTGAAGAGTGCTGGCAATATTCTTTCAATCAGGGCTTAAAATTTACTTTTTTTGATCACCGGCTACAGTGGCTAGTAGTTTTCCAACATTACTGGCCACTCTGGATTTTCACTAGCCACAATTTTGTTGTTGTGAAAATATATTTATGCATAAATATGACTGACATGTTAAAAATTACTTGATTTAGATTTTGTTTTGTCCGCATGCCTTCTCATTCATTTCACATTTTGTGTGTCGTGTAAGAGCATGGATCATGGTGTTATAGTGTTATACCGCAATTCGTTTTTATTTCACATTTTTCAGAACTCAAAATTAAGGATTTACCAAATTTATCACTAACCACTCCAAACTATTATTATTTCTTAGCCACAAATTTTAAACGTGTCAAAACAAGCTAAATATAGCTGTATCCACTTGTTAAGTGGTGATGTGTTTGTGATGTATGTAATATTGTTTCCGGGTCCAAGCCGCCATTCATTTGAGTGAAGAAATCATTCGTTTATGATCACTTTTTATTCCTATCACACATTAATTTTACATAAAGTCATAGTGTACACAACAATCTCTGGGCTTGCTGCATAACAAATACCAACATTTGAACAATTCATAAAAAATTAATCCCATTCTGGCCATTAGATATTAGGCATAGGCATATATACTGCGATCGTGACTTTTGAAAGTATTAAATCACTTTTTAAACGTTTATTATTACCATTTCATTAGTCTCCCCATTCAGCTGAATAGAGCACTCGGACCCGGAAGCCGCTCTGCATGCTCTTTTTATTTAACAAATTATTTCTTAAAAAAAAGAAAAAAGAAAAAAAGAAAAACAATTGACTTTTAAAAATAATTATAGTCATGTATCAAAAAGTAACCTGTCCTTACTAACGGTCTCTCAGATCACCAGTTAACTACACATAAATGGAGAGTTAATCTCATATTAAAGCAATGTTGCTGTAAAAAAAAAAAAAAAGATAATTATACCAAGTTAACAAAAATAACCAGAAGCAAAAGAAAAGCAGGTGAGAAACATACTGTGTGATAATGAAAGCATGATCACACGGTTAAGGCCCATTAATAATCTGTTCAAAGTGAAAGCAGCCGGTGCTGCTTACAAAAATACTTATTTGGAGCTCTTGAAAGCAGCAAGACTGTGGGTGCATTTGCATAACTTTTTTTGTCTGACTATTTTGAAATCACAGTTGCGTTCCAGGCACAGTTGCTTCAAGCCTATGGCTTCAAGCAAGGAGACAAGAGCGCGCACGCGCTTTAAACAGCTTTAATACAGTGATTATCCTCTCATTCGGTATTCATCTGCTTTCAATTGCTCGAGCGAATGCAATTTTTTTTGTTAGTCATGCTGTTTTACGATTCTAAGATCACATTTGCACGCATATTGGGTCATTCTTATAGTAAAACTCTGCTTTTAAGAAAAAATTATTTTTAAATTGTGGTTAACCAGCCAAAGTGGCTATAATGGGAGTGACTGTCTAACCCAGGGGTGTCCAAACTCGGTCCTGGAGGGCCGGTGTCCTGCATAGTTTAGCTCCAACTTCCTCCAGCACTCCTGCCTGGAAGTCTAGTATACCTAGAAAGAGCCTGATTAGCTGGTTCAGGTGTGTTTAATTGAGGTTGGAACTAAAATATGCAGAACACCGGCCCTCCAGAACCGAGTTTGGATACCCCTGGTCTAACCCGTCGTAGTTTAAATCTACCCGAATTTGGCGGGTGTTAATGTTAAGCCCTGCTTACTATCAGTATTGAAAAATATACCGTAATGTTGTTAATGTTACTGGTTGAAAGTGGCGATAAGGTTTTAAAATGTAGCTATAGAAAGGGTCCTAAAAAGGAGTTTAATTTATTCTCGGATTCATGTGTATACCCTGGTAACATCTACTTTTAATATTTTTGTTCTAAATATACACAAAATGAGATTATTGCTGCTTGTTCAAACTACTTATTTAAGCTGAAACAGCACAATTCTGTAGATTTTTTTTTTTCTTTGAATTTTTATTTTCTTCAATCCACTTAAATTTGCTATGCTAACGTAATCTATTTGTGTTGGGACAACATGAATGAGTTGTGTGCAATCCTACATGTTTTGTAATCAGTGTAATTGCTTAAAAATCTCTGGTGAAATCATTGAAAAACAGCCTATTTACTATAACTAAATGAAACAAGATGCACACTAGAAAAACCATTGTTTGATTTCATTTAATATTAAATGAAACCAGGCACACCAGAGTGTTAAAATGAATAAATAACTTTTTTTTTTTTTTTTTTTTTTTGCAGTCCTCAGAGTGTCCAAAAAGATTCCCTATTCATTTTGTTAACTTTTTACAATCCTCTGCCTCAATAGCACTGCGCTGAACACATTCCCAGTGTGGAGTTCAAACGGTTAAATCAAACTCCCACATCTGGACATAGTTTAAGCAGACGGAAGTGAGAGTGAACTGAAATATTCCTTCACAAACAGCTGTCTGCAGGAGCGAGGGACTCCATGCTTTATCAGCTCGACCTCAACAATGAGTCTTCCGCTGCTTCTGACCGCTCTTGTTCTTGGTGGACTGCCAGGTGAGATTTTATTATTCCTTTGGCTAAATACGGATGGTAAAACGCCCTTTTATCAAGAAGCTGTTTTATCGACGGGTGGTTCAAAACATTCAGGAATACAAATTTATAGCAGTTTAGGCAACAAGTAAAGATTCCTCTCTTCTTAATGTTATATTGTAATGTTTGCAGTTTTAAAACTCAATGTCAAATAATTCTGAGTCAATTTTTATTTAATGGAAACTTTGTGTACTAAATTCCTCCAGTTGTTTTGTTGTTCTTTCAGTTGGTTTGTTGTCCAATAACATTTTTCCAAATGCGTGCTTTTAGTTTTCCAAATGGTTTAGTTTTTGTATATTTTTTATGCTTTTTTTGGAAGAAATTGCAGGACAAAAGGAAAATAAATAATTGGACAATGCAAAACAGGCCTATCAGCCATTTTATGCAGTCATAGTGGGGAGTTTATGCAATTTTTTGCGGTCTAATTATCTGGAATATAATGATTATGAAAGCAAAACAACTGAATTTTGGCAAAAAAAAAGTCTACTATTATAATCATGATAAAATGTAATTTTGTGACATTTAACTTTTTTTAGTTTTGTGTTGGTATACGAGTAAAGCAGAAATCAGAAAACATCTGCTTTTAAGTTGAATGTTAAACTAAACCAATGCCTTTTTTTTGGCAGTCATCTTGTGTTCATGTTTGTTCAATATCAGTGATTAACTATTGCTGGTTTTATTTTAAGTACAACATGCAAGTACAAAAATGCCAGGTTATTTCAATCCACTTCTGGGTGTAACTGCAGACAAACCCATTTTTTTATTCAATTAATACACTGTAAAAATTATATGATTACCTAGTTTAATAAGTTACAATTAACTAAAAACACACACTGTTGACTAAGTTAATCATGTTCTAACTTAATTTTTATATGTTTAATTGATTCATAAACTTAATTAGATTCAGCTTAAATTTAAGGCAACCAGTATTTTTTTTTTTCACATTGTAGAAGCAACGTTTGGGTTTGTATATATTTTACCCAATTAAGTTAGAAATAACCCAGGTTTTTTTTCCCTTATTTGTTTTAAATTGGTGATACTTTAATGTTTTGTTATTGTACATTTTTATTATTGGTTAAGTTTAATTTGAATGAAATTATTAACTTAATTATCAAGTTAAAAAAAAAAAAAAAAAAAAAAAAAATATATATATATATATATATATATATATATATATATATATATATATATATATATATATATATATATATATTAGTAACTCTGATCATTGTGTAACCCTCCAATACACCCTAATCATAATCTAAAACTTATATCACTAATAATATTTTAAAAATGATTTATTCAACACCTTAATTTAAACTATGGCAAGGGGCCGGGCAAACTCATATCATGCACAATGGCAATTCCAAGTGCTTTACACATTAAGAATAAAAGAAACAAGAAAATAAAAAATCTATTAAAATGATTAATAACTGATTAAAATGTGTTAAAACAAGTTTTATAGGAATGAAAAAGAAAAGAAAGACATACTAGCGCCATCTGTCGGATGTAGTGCCCATTCAGTAAAGACATAGCTAAACAATTGTATTCAGTCTTGATTTGAATGTGGCAAATGTTGGAGCACATCTGATCATTTCTGGAAGCTGATTCCAGCTGTAGCGGGTGCTGTTAGTAGCTGAAGACAGATTCACCCTGCTTTGACTGAACTTTTGGAATTTCCAGTTTATGTGATCCTAAAGATCTGAGTGATCTGTTGGGTTTGTATTCAGTGAGCATATCTGTTATGTATGGAGGGGTTTCCCATTTAGGGATTTATAGATAAGTGATAATACTTTAAAATCTATTCTGCATTTTACTGGGAGCCAGTTTAGAGACCTGAGGACAGGTTTGATGTGCTCTGATTTCCTGGTTCTGGTCCGAATCCTGCTCGCAGCGTTCTGGATGAGCTGCAACTATCTGACTGTGTTTTTGCGAAGGTCAGTGAGGAGTCCATTACAGTAATCAACCCTGCTGCTGATAAAAGCATGAACAAAAACGCATAAAAGCACGAGAATAATGTCAAATAATTTCAAATTTACTGTGCTGCCCCCATAGACACTGCATTAAAAACACCTCTGATAAGCCACAATTCGTGTTTTGTTATTTGATGCAAAGATGATATAATAATCAATCTTCATAAGTTGTTTTTTAAAAATCAGAATATTAAAAACATTTAAGAATATGAAATTATGATGACCATTACATGTGTGAAAAGGATCCATTCCCGCTCCAATCTCACATTAAAATTAAGGGTTTTCGCGCTCATTTCTTCAACACCAACAAGTCATTGACGGCTCTGTTGTGTTCTCCTTTGTATTTATTTATTTTTTTTTTAGATCAGTTTGGAGTTAGTAGTCCCAACCTCCTTCAGGTTTGTTTGGTTATTTCTTTTATACATGTTGTTGAGCTCCCAATCTCTTGTCATTTTGGATTGTTTTGCTGAATACTTTGTTAATAAATATTTCACTTGGAGAAATTTGGCCATTGTTTGTTATGCTTGCTTAAAATCACAAGTATTATTTAAGTGTGGACCCTAAGATAAATGGGGGCTCGTCCGGGATTTGAATCTGGGACTTATCGCACCCCAAGCGAGAATCATACCCCGCTGCAGAGTTCAGACTGCATGATTTTAGCCCCATATTTGACTTTCCGACAGGATTTGAGAAATCGCAGACAAATACCTGAAATCACAGGCAAATCAGTGCTCGTTCACACGAGTAACAATTACACAGTGTGAACTATCAAAGCACCATCTGAGAGAATTGCAGATGAGTCACCGACACCCGTCAGATATTTGGCATGGTCAATATCTGGAGCTGTCAGTGATTCAAATCCTGCCATGTGAATGTGTTCTGACTGAAAATAACGCTGATGATTGCCTACAGCCAACGAGAGAGCAGCATCCTCTAGTATGGGTATCTGCAGGCCAGCAGGAGGTTGGAGGAAAAGTTCTTCTGTTTGGTCTATTTAGACCCAAGAAATTAAGAAAGAAATAGTGTAAATTTGGCAACAGAACCAGTGTCTGTTTGATGTGTCATCTGAGCAATACCACAACTGGGTTGAAAAACAAAAAGGTTGAGGAGAAATGGTTAATTCCCTTCAAAAGCTATGTGAGCAAACCAAGTACATTTTCTACCCCACTGAAGGCTTCTTTCTTGAAACAAAAGAAAATACAACATGACCTCACATCGTTTTTGTGTAATTTCTCGTGTGTGGTTGTTAGACATAGTTAGGCAAAGTTGTAGGTGATTCTTCCTGTTGTAAAGTCATATCCCTCTCCGCTGTCGCCTCTGGCTTTTATGGTTCAGGACCTGTAGAGCTTTGCATAGATGAATTTGCTCTTCAGTGTTTGGACTCTCAGTAATGATTTTACACCACACTGAACTGAGCTAAACTGAACTGAACTTAAACACTAAAAACTGAACTACCCTGATCCAGTTACTATGACCATTTATGTGAAGCTGCTTTGACACAATCTACATTGTAAAAGCGCTCTACAAATAAAGCTGAATTGAATTGAATAACGTGAACCCCCTGTTGCTGATCCAGCTTACACAGCAGTGACGGAAAGCTACCCCAGATAGTCATGCAGTGTGAAAACATCAGTGACGCACCTACTTTGAAAATCATTCAATCTGAACTGATGTTCATCTTTGTCTCTTTTCAGGGTCCCACAGCACAGTGACTACAATCGGAGATGTAGCTGTACTGGAGGGTGGATCCGTCACTGTCCCATGCCACTATAACCCGCAGTACATCAGCAATGTGAAGTACTGGTGCAGCGGCCGCATGAGGGAGTTCTGCTCCAGTTTGGCCCGCACAGATGATCCTGAATCTGCCCCGAATGGGAACAGGAAGGTGACGATCGCCGATGACCCGACTCAGCATGTGTTTACTGTGAACATGCGCAACCTGACGGAGGACGATTCGGGCTGGTACTGGTGCGGTGTGGAGCTTGGTGGGATGTGGGTGTCAGACAGCACCGCCTCGCTTTATATCAGCGTCGTTCAAGGTAAGTTTAAGTCTGGGTGGAATCTAAATTCACAATGTTTATTTTGCTAGTGTTATTCTTTAGGTAAACAATTATTCTGTGTAAGTTCACTTAAAAAAAAAAGTTTGTTTTGGTAATCTGTTGTCAAAGTCTGACCATTTGCTTCTGCGTTTGGAATGGCGGTTCTTCTCTGATGTCAGTTAGCTATGAGGTAATGATGCGCAATAAGAAAGCCCCGCCCCCAACTTAATCTAAAATTTCAGTTGGAGATACATCAACATACTGACATAAAAGTCTTGGTCTTAACTTGCATGAAATAATTGATCACCTAAAGCAGGGGTCACCAATCTCAGTCCTGGAGGGCTGGTGTGCTTGCAGGGTTTAGCTCCAACTTGCCTCAACACACCTGCCTGAATGCTTCAAGTATACCTAGTAAGACCTTGATTAGCTTGTTCAGGTGTGTTTGATTAGGGTTGGAGCTAAAATCTGCAGGACACCGGCCCTCCGGAAAAGGTTTGGTGACCATTGACCTAAAGCAATGGTGTAGATTTAGCTTTTAATATTGGTGGGGATCTAACTTAACATCCCAAATATATAACTATTTATGCAAGCACCTTAAAGGGGAAATGAAGCACTCAGTCAAGTTTACCTTATTTTGTACACTAGATTACATTTTAATGAAATTGTATTTAACAAACTCGATTAACGTAACCATTTAGCAGTAAACAGCGTGTTTTACTATAGATTTTAGACCTAGGGCGCAGCCATCTTGGAATGTCGCTGTGATCATTTCACCTTTAAGCTGAAAGATGACTTTACACGTCCATGTTCTATTCAGTCTATTAGCACGAAAGCTGAACCGCACATATTCTATTTGCTTATTTAAAAACATTAATAAATAAATAAAATTTAATTGAAGAGCTGATTAAAAAAAAAACCGAACATCTAAACGCACCGTAGCAGCTGTCAGTCACAGTGTTCAAATATGTTTGGGGGAGGTAAAGCTCGAGTAGAGAATGTGATTTAACCCTTTCTGTACATATTCGTTATTGAGAATTTTAGACAGTGTATTTTAGCATATTGAGAGTTTTTTATGTTGTTTGTGTTTCATGTTTTGATTTTCAAAGTGTACTTTTAAAACTAACAAACATAAAATAGACATTTGTTTTATTGTACAAAATAATACAATAAAATAGGCTATGTAATCCCCTACACTACTTCAAATCATTACAAGTATGACTTTAGCATTAGGAAAATAAATATCGTTATTATTACACGAGTCTAAAATGATTTAAAAGGCTATAATTGCTAGTGATTTCTACTGATTTTCTTTATCATTTCTTTACTGATTTCTAAATTCTCCCATTATAATAATAGCTGACAATTATTTCATGTGAATTCAGCAACCCCTGGGACCTCATGTACGAAGACTTGCGTTGAGTTCATACTAAAACATTGCATACGGACAAAGCTTTAAATGTGAGTACGCAGTAAAAAATTCAGATGTATGAAACACTGCGTACGCATAATCCCACGCATATTCTCTTTGTACATCCGGCTTAACGTGAAACTGAGCGCATGTGCATGAGCGGAAAACCTCTCCCTGCCTCCTTCCCCGTATAGATATGGTAATGACTCTACCTTGGCAAAAAAAAAAAAAAAGCAAGCAAGAAGAGAAACTTTGAACAGAATGTGAATTTGAGGTGCTCCTACCAGAGGTAGACCAGAGAAAAGCGGTGTTATTTGCAAGTTTGTCCTCTGGAATTATAAACAAAAGGAAAAAAAATAGAGTGGGAGAGTTTAGCTGATGCAGGGAACACAGTGGGGTCTCGTTGGACACCTTGTTAGAATGAGCTAGTTGAGTGATAGTCGAGCAGACATGAGCAGCGCAGCTCGTAAAGCACATGGCAACATGTTTTGACACTATCATTCATGAACCGGGTTCGTATCCAGCGTCTGATGAACTCCATTTTGTCTTTTTTCCCCATTCCATATCAGATTTTGCCTACTCTTCATCACGAGGAAGACAAGTAGGAGTCATTAATAAGTTTGTGTATTATGTTAAGCGCATTTGAGCATCACATTATTTGCACATTTATTGAATGGAAATGTTTCTGATTCACATATGCAAATTCATCTTCAGATGGCGCCTTTGTAGTAATGTGCGTGCAGTCGATCACTCCGATTACATTGGGAAAACCATCAATCGCTGCAAGTTGCGCTTTAATGTTTGGTCAACAGCATGGTATAGATACCTGCTAGACATGCGGATGATCCCGTCCCGTACAGCTGCCATTGCACGGCTCAAAGATACTTTGTAGTGTGCAATTTAACACAATTGCCTCTAGGAGTCGCCAATGGAAATAAAACAAACACACACAAGAAATGCACGTACGACAGCCATGAAGTTGACGCGGACCAACGCACATTCTTACGTTCATTTCATCGTTAGTAAATCCAAACAGGAGCGTGAAACCTGGCATACGCAAAGTTTTTGTGCGTACGCAGCGTTGAAACATGAGGCATCTGGTCATATTTTTACTACTTAAATATCGAAAAAACAAAACGCATTAGGAAGTTACATTTTGATTAAAGGATAACAAAGTCTATTTAAGACCATTAAAAATCCTTCATTGTGATTATTTTTGAGATTTATGCATGTGCCACACACATGCATAAATCAGATGCACAGTGCATATGGGGGAAAAAAGATGTAAAGTTATTTTTATAATAGTGTTACATCCCTTCCCCTTTTTGGTCTAGGGTTGGGGAAGGAAAATAACAAAGAAAATTAAAATTTAGAATTTGAGAAAAAAAAAGAAGACCAAATTAATGAATTGTGTATAAATTAAATAAACAAATTGAGGGAACACTTCAATCCTGCCTCAGAAATTTGAAACCACAAGAGTAAACTTAAATTATTTTATTATTTGGTTCTTAAATCAATAAACAATAAATGAAGCATAAATCTCAGGAGAAGGATTAACCAAAACAACAAACAAAACAGGTCTAGCTCAGGAGGAGTACTAAATAACCTAATTTTAGGTAAAAGAAAAGAAATGAAACAACACAGGCTTTCCTCAACTCCCTTACTATCAATAAACACAGTCAAACAATTACAAAAATAAAAATGGCACCCTCTCCCTACAGCTTGAATTTTTAAATAAAAAAGTCAGACAAAGAAACAATACAATTACCTTTTACGTACCACACACAAAAGAATATATGTATCTAAATAACAACTCAGAAAACAGACACACTGCCTGTAAAATTACACAACGCAAAAACAAGCAAGTTTCTCAACACAGAGAAACTAAAATTGAACTCACTAGCCCATTAACTCCTTTTTACAATTAACCAGATAAACACCTACAATCACGAGTCTGGAGCAGGGGAGAAGTGAACCTCTCCGTGGTTTGAGACGCACTGCTCTTTTGTAGCAGCGCATTACTGCAGCACGCTCCAATAATGAGCACCACCTGGGCCCAATCAGCTCTACCTAGTGAGCAGGCAGAGAGACACAGTAAAAGTAAAAGAGAAACACACAACATAACCACTCCCAATGGGCAGTAAACACACAAATAAACAATAATAATAAATAATAATGGTAAATACATCCAAGGGATGTAACAATTGTATACCCTTAATTTATCATTTAAAATAAGATAACTTTTTGGGAGAATGGGGTACTTTCCTGTGTGTTTATTATTGTTGTTCTGCAGGTATGTCAGTGGTGAACGGTATGGTGAGCGCAGAAGAAGGCAAAAGCGTCAGTGTTCAGTGTCTCTATAGTAAAAACCTCAGGTAAGGACATACTGCACATCATCAACCATTAATAAAACATGAACATTTACATACAGCAAACACTAAACTAAAAAAATAGCATTCTAAGAAGTAAAGAACTGACTCTGGGTTTGCAGTGGTAAGTGGAGCTTGTTTGCACCTGTTTTATTTAAAAAGACAGATCAGTTTATGGTTTTAAATCCTCTCCGATACTGAAGCCGGCATTTTTGCAGTATCGGTGAGTATTTCTAATACTAGTATCAATATCGGAACAACCCTACTAAATGTACAATTCCCTGTATGACGTGCAGGTGGAGTGAGAAGCGGTGGTGTCGCAGTGGAAACTGGAACTCCTGCCTGCTGACGGACTCTGAAGGCACATTCAGCGGTAAAAATGTCCACATCCATGATGATAAGAACAGCGTGTTCACAGTGACCTTACAGCGGCTGGAGATGAGAGACTCGGGCTGGTACTGGTGCGGAGCCGGTCAACAAAACGTGGCTGTTCATGTGTCCGTCACTAGACGATCCCCAACACGTACGTCACATTCATAAAACACTGTAAAGTAAAGGGTTTTTAAAGAACAAAACAAAAATTATCAAAATGCAAACAAAAAAAATACTGTTCAGTCTTGAATAGTTCACTTTTATTTTTCTTACCTGCCATGAGAACACTATAATAATTGTAAGATTGTGAAGTGTTATCTCTATGCCAAATTTTCACAAACTTTGTTCTTGTCTGCTCTGTAGAAACACGAGTAGCATTTTGCACTAGTACAGTATCATGCAATGCAATAAAATATAAGACTTTGGATTTACAAGGATTGTGCACTGATAGAACTTGAATGATGAATGAAATAAACTAGGGGTGTGTGCTTTATTAAAAAATCAGATCTTAATACTTTTATACTATTTAAGTACGTTTTTTGGTAATTGTTAACCCCTGTGTGCTGTTGGGGATGTTTTGATCCACTCTGGGTGATTTTGAGTCTTAATTTGTCCCCAACTTTCTTTGTATTTCATCAAATGGGATGATTTTTGGTGACAAATCTTATTTTCACACACATTTTGGAAAAAATTAATTGAAATTTTTTCATAAACTCAATACACTCTGGCCAAATTGGCTACCCTTTCGTTATGTTGCTGGTTGTTTTCGCCCCATTGACTTCCATTATAATGATATGATTATACTATACTGATCTGATGAAAACATCCCCGGCAGCACACAAAAGTTAAAAACTATTTACATTTTTTTTTCCAGAAAGTTACAGAACATTTAATTTATGATTTAGATATTTGTATTGTGTGTATTTAAAAAGAAAAGGGAAAAACCCCATACATGAACTGTTGCTTTCATAATGCTTCTGGAATCTTCAAGACATGCTTTTGATTTAATGCAAAGTGAGTGACATTCAATAATGTCTGCTTGCACATCGTTAAACCAACAATACATTGTTATTAAATGGTAAATTGCAATTTCAAACACCCCCATTAAGAACTAGATAATGCAAAACATGCTGTTTGGCAGAATAAGCTGGAAAGTGTGAGTTCTTCAAGATGTTTTATGAGACTTGTTAATATTTGTTGACTTATGCAAGACTTGCTCTCCATTGCTTGTTTCTCTTGCATTACAATGTTGACCTTTTTCATTGAGTTAAATGTGTCTTTGTGTCTTTTTGATCCAATAGCAGTGTCCACAGCATCTCCAGTCCATAATAAGACAGCGGGGAATCTATCTGTAACAAGCTCAAATGAATCTTACAGGTGATTTTTTTTCTGCTCTACACTAGCACAATTGTGTATATTTCTACATGGCTTGTATGTATGTATGTATGTATGTATGTATGTATGTATGTATGTATGTATGTATGTATATATATATATATATATATATATATATATATATATATATATATATATATATATATATATATAGATATATATGTGTGTGTATATATGTGTGTATATATATATATGTGTATATATATATATATATATATATATATATATATATATATATATATATGTCTAATAATTCAATTACCCATCAAACTTTATTTCTTACATATACATATAGTAGTGTTGATAGCTGAAATTTTATTTTTATATATAAGGACTATATATATTTATAAAAGTCTAAGTTGTTATTTTACAAGCTATTATAAGCACACACCCCTAGTTTATTTCATTCATCATTCAAGTTCTATCAGTGCACTCGTATACTTTATATATATATATATATATATTTATATATATATATATATATAAATAGTCCTTATATATAAAAATAATATTTCAGCTATCAACACTACTATATGTATATGTAAGGAATAAAGTTTGATGGGTAATTGAATTATTAGACATTAATTCATAGCAGCTACTTCTCAGGTGTGCATTATTTTATGATAATTCAAAAAAGACCTTCCATACTGAAGTTCAATATTCACATACAGTTGAAGTCAAAATGATTAGCCCTCCTGTGAATATTTCTTTCAAATATTTCCTAAATTATATTAAATGAAGCAAGAAATCTTTCACAGTGCTTCCTATAATATATTTTATCTTTTGGAGAAGGTCTTAAGCATTTAACAGCTATATAGTATATCAGGGTGTCCGCAGGCTCTTAAAAAGTATTAAAAGTTGATCAGTCAATTTGAAGGTAAAAAAAATATTTAAAAGTCTAAGTTGTTATTTTACAAGCTATTACATTTTTTTGATCAGTTTGCCTGAATTTAATCTGTGAATATCGGGATGATGTGTAGTTTACAAAACCGCTGAAATCCTGCTAGATTTGACCTCAGGCTGTTCTGGTTACAGTAAGCAAGGAAACAGTCATTCCTGCTGTGTTAAGCACCACCTGCTGGATTTGCATGTTTATTCAGTATATGACTTTTGATTTTTCTTACAATCAGTATTTAGTAAATACAGTGTTAAAATGTAAGTGGTTGAAACCTAAAGTGACGATAAGGTCTTAATGTATGGGAAGAGTCTTAAAAGGTCTTGAAAGGTATTGAATTTCACTCTTTGATTCTTGTATACTGTATGAACAAATCATGGTCAAGTTGTTTTTTGTGGCTAACTCATCATGTGTGTTTCAGTCGTCCAGTTTGGGAGTCTCCTCTTGTGATGTGTGGAGTCGTTCTGCTGGTCATGACTGCATGTCTGGCGCTTTGGAAGTTGCAGCAACAGTGCAGTAAGTTTTTTTTATGCTTTTGTAAAAGTATTGTGCTTTTGCTGTTGTATACATTTATTGCTGTAATAAAGTTTACAGCCCTTTGGCCGCCGGGAAGAAGGAGGCGGAGAACCGACGCAGTTTTTAACTGATTTATTAATAACAGTGACGGCAGCTCCTCACGGAGACTGCCGTCTAAACCAAAACAAACGGACGGCAGCTCCTCAGGGAGACTGCCGTCAAACTAAAAGCAAAACTAAAATGCCCGGGCCCGGTTCTCTCTCGGCTTCCTCTGCCATCGTTCCTCCTTTTATTGTCCAGAGCTCCTTCCGTGGGATCCGAGGCAGGTGCTCACCGCAGGTGTATCCACTTGCGCGGTGGCCTCACTCCGTTCCCTCGGCTCTCGGCCACGCCCCCTCGCCACAATTGCATTAGTTGTTTTTTTCTCTGTATTAAGAAATCTGCACTTCAATGTCTCTGCATTTGTAAATAATACTCAATACACCTAATTTAGCTGCAGAATCAAACATACAGCATAAGACTAAATTATTAGCAGTGCTATGAAAATTGATGTGGAAAAAGTGCTGTTTAACAGATGTGGGACATTTTTCATAGTATTTTCTATTATATTTATCTTTTGAAAGTCTATTTTTTAGTTTTAGTCAAGTTTTTCACGCTAGTAAAGCATAGCATACAATATTATGTGTGCTGATATTTAAGAAACATGCTAACTGAACATTCTTGTTTATCTGAAAACAATGCTGAAGTCCGATATTCTGCTTTGAAAATGTGTTTTAACCTGCCCAATGCCATTTGTTGCCAATTATATTTCAGCACACTGGGTTACATTGGTGGAAAACAGCAGATTTTATTCATTCAATTAGGAAGGCTCTCAAAGCATGCATCTGTGACTGAAAATGTGACCTCTAGTGGACAGTAGCAGACTCTGAAATGAGATGCAGATTCAGAGTTCCACATGAGGTTATTAATTAGAAAATAATATAAATATCACTGATGTAAACATTAGGTAAGCAGGTTACATTGTTTTGTGTGTCATTGCTTTTACTTTTAAATCGGCTTAAATCAGCGTTTAGGCTTGACAGTGAAGCCTGTTTCACACCGCAAGCTTGAGCAGCGCATGTTTTTTTGGCATCTAAGTTAAGAGATTAGAACTTGCATACTGCACGCATAAGCAGTGTGTCAGCTCGAGGCATGAGTGTCACTGAAGCAGCAGTGCCGCGATGAGTGTCATGCTCAATTAAAGTAACAGTGCATTGATAATGACCAAAAACACATTAAATGACAGTAAAAAGGAGCAATTTTACCCAATAAATGCATCGATAATATCCACTGATTTTTCTATAGTCAATCAAATGAACTTAAACGATCAAATATTTAGTTGGGCCTGAACTACAAAACCAAATTGAAAACTATTTCAGTATTAGTTTTGGTTAAGTTGCACACTAATTTGATCATATATAAATATTATTATAACTATATTGTACTATAAATACAGGCCTACATCATCCTGACAATCAAAAACAAAATGACATGATATTAAAGGTGATTGTCTTCTGATTGAGTGCAACTGAAAAGACATGAATGCCACTCCTTATAGAGCTTGAAGCATTTAGTTCTTTAAGATCTATACAATTTGTGAAATAAAGACTTGCAGGTTAAGGAAACAGCATAGGAGGAAGTTGCCTTGGTGCAGATGAAAAGTAAAACAAAAAGTGTATGGATGGATACTGTAGGTAACTAGATAGAATAGACAGAGAGGGATTGGTCTGTGCAGC